CCACCGGTGAAGCCGTAGGGGTTCTCCTGGGCGGCAATGATACCGGCGACGTGAGAGCCGTGGCCGGCGCAGTCCTTGGGATCATTGTCGGGCACAGGAGCGTTGAAACCGCTGTAGTTGTCACCGACCAAGTCAGTACCGAATGATACCAGACAGCCGGCGCCAAAGCAGCCGCCAAGAGCAGGGTGAGTGTAGTCAATCTATCATCTTTGTGAGTCAATGTCTAACAAAGGGAGGGTAGTGGGTTTCTACTCACGCCTGTGTCAATGACGGCAATCTTGACGCCCTTGCCTGTAAACCCCTTGGCCCGCAGCTTGTCAATCTGGGTCATCTGCTGAGGAGGAAAGTTGCCTGGATCAGTCGGGCTGACATCTCTGGCCTGGATAGCGGGAGATGTGCTGCCAGCAACCCACTCGACCTTTGGGTTGGGGGCCTGGATGAGGGTGACGGGCCACATGTTCTTCACCGCGGGCAGTTGGGCCATCTTCTGCGCCTTGCTCTCATGGTTGGAGAGATCCTTGAGTTGGACTGAGACACCCTTGAACAGCTTGTAGTTGAACTTGATGCGAGTTGAGCCCTCGTCGTTGAGCTGTTTGTAAAAAGCGGCCGTGTCCTATTGGAGTCCCGTCAGCATTTGCCACCGCGGTAGGCAACATGCCCAGTGCCAACGGCTGAGCGAGACTCACCTGATCATTCTCAAACTCGAAGATGTAGGCGCCGGGGACGACTTTCGACGTCTGGCCGGAGCCACGGGCAATGACCCCGGAGAAGGTCGCCAGCAGCGACACTAATAGAGCTAAGCGCACCATCTTCAACTTTCCACTTGTTCGACTATGGAAAGGGTTTACAATGGCGCAGCGCTTGCGGGACGATGAGGAGAGACAATGGCTAGGTGCGCCAGAACCAGAAAGCTGCTCTCTGCCTCTTCAACCCATCGTCTAAGGGTGAAGGGGATGTCTCCGGGTATAAGTACTCACTCCCTCGACGCCAGACCGCGGCCCTGCAGCTCGAGCTGCCAAGCACGGCTTGATCCAAAAGCACCTCTCGGGACCCTGGAGGACGGGGTTTTCGCCGCCACGACGACTTAGAACGCCCATCCAGGACGCGCTTCTCATGCGGCGGCGGGCAAGACATGAACAACGGCTGGGACCCCTTGCCGCCGTGGCGCCAGGGGTTCACCGCCGGCTTCCCCCCATGCTAGCCTCATGATGGCGGTAGTATTTTTGTGCGACTTGCATCCGCCCAGATCTCTCTCTTGCCTGGGCAGCTTCCGAGGTCAGAAATTGAAGCACGCGATGAGGTTCTATGCGGGGTCAGCTTCCAAGAGAGGAGCGGCAGACGTTTAGATCTCCAATCGCCACTACCATTTTCACCTACCTCTTTGGGACAGTCGGCCGTTGGCGAACCAGCCTCATGTCAGGGCTCGAGCCACAGCGACTGAGGCGGAGCAAAAACGGCACCGGCCGATGTGGAACGTTTGCAATGAGATGGCCGACTATCGCTCTTCGGGAGCGTTCATCAGTGCTTGCAATGGAACTAGGAGTTATACCTCTTTATCGAAGCGGCCTATGGGAAAGATAGACACCCGTGACGCTGGGAAATTGTACGACGGGCCACAAGGACGCAGTATATTTGGGTGGCCGCAGATGGGTGGCGTTCCTTACACGCGATCACCCGGGACAGTGTCTCTTTACTTGCATTGTGTTGGTGATGCACACCAAATTACCACAACACGGCTCTCCACCGCGCCCCTTCCTCTACACGGTGGACGAGATGTCAAATTGGCCTGGCCCGCCTAGGTAGCATCTGGCGGTCGGCATGCTCCGGTGAGGCATGTTGACAAGTGGGGGATGGACATGAACGTGCTCATGGAACAATTTCAGCAAAGCCTCGGTCGAGTAGCACGGCATTGTTGACCTAGGTATGATTCTATGCGGATGCCAACACTGGACGGCGAGCTGCAAGAACCCGCAGGCCACTCGCTGTATTGCGCCGCCGGCCTACGGCAAAAGGGCTCCGCTGCTTGGGAAAGCGGCTGTCGGCTGACATGCAGGTCAAGCTCGAGGTAAGCTTGATTATTAGCTATGATTGCCGACGAGAACTGGCTCCGCACTCGGTACGGAGCATCTATTCTATCGTCTTCGTTGCACCACCGCCCCTGTAAGCTACGCAAAGGCCTCCTCGCCGACGAAACGCAACGCAAGGACAGACGAAGAATTTCGAATCGTGTCCTGCCTTGTTCTCGCCCGAGTCTGTAGAACGAGCTCTCGTGTCATGTAGGAAGAATCTCAACGAAGAAACATCTGGACTCCGATACAAACACGACTGCAATTGGATGTCGCGAGCCCACGCGAAGATAGCCTGACGACTATCTGGATGACAGCTGCGAAGCACGCAACAATTCTTACGAAAGTGCAAGGGTCTAACCAGAACATCCTCCCCGCCGGCTTGGCGAAGATATCAGTTGGCTTCACCACACAATCCTCAAACCCCTGCCAGGACAAAGTCTCCTTATCAAGCACCTCCTCTGTCGTGGGCTAGTTCCAAGGACTATTGCGGACTTTTGTATCTGCTCTTGGCTCGTTCGGTAAGGTAGGAAAAACAAACGTCCCAGTCGGTACTAAACTGGGGCTGGCGACCATCAGCAGGACCTTTTTTAACCTTGCCGCGACGCCAAGATAGCGCTGTCTTAATATTATGGGGCGTGTCCTGGAATCGGAGGCCATCGAGGCTAATTGCTTCGTCGAGAGCAAGATTGCATGTGCCGGATGAATCATGTATAATTCCGACTATGCCCCGAGATGGTCCTTGATTGTGCTAGACGAATCATCATCGCAAGAGTGAATATGAATGAATGAATCGCTCCACAGAGTATCACAGCGTTGAGCACAGAGACAGACGAGACGACATGACGATCGGCGGGTTTGCAGCGATCCCATAGACTCCCACCAATAGCAATTCCACAATCAAACTCGGGTCAGGCCAAGGTTTCCCCGTCTTGAATCATCCTTGCAGGAAGGCCGCCGGCCAAGACCGTCAACCACCAGTTACATTGCTCTCGTCGCGGCCCTCTGGCCCGAGATGGCACTTGTTTGGAGTCCACGATGCAGCTGAAGACATAATAAATAGCCAATGTCCTGAAGCCGGAGCCATTCGCCACTTCAGCACAATGCAATGGCCAATCTCTCTGGCCATGCCCATCGCTCACGACACGCTACCCCGGATTCGGCATTGGCAAAAAAGTTCCCCTGCTAGTCTTGGATTCAAATGAATTCCCACCAAGGCACTTTCGACTGGGGTGGGCCGTTTTGGCGTGCCAAGAGGAGCGACAAAGATTCCATGCTTTGGCTGAGATGATGATGATGGTCGGATGCTTTTCTTGGCTAATCTAATCAAACGCCATTTTACGGGAGCAAGATTTTTGCTTTAGTATGAATCAATTGAGAAGCTGTGTGCTCATGACGAGCTTTCCATTCTGGTGGCGCATTGTCGTCGTGTTTGAGTCCTCCCAATTGACATTTTGAAAAGGCCGATGTTCAACTACAGGAGAGATGCGCGTGGAAGTCTCCCTTTCGTTGATGGAAACACCCACGAGCTAATAGTTTGAAGTACCATTCACTGCTGTTCAATTGACGTTACCGCGCTGATTCGATGCAGTCACTATTAACAGTTATGCCAGAAACGAACTCTCGCCTTCAGGGTAAATGCCAGAGGCTAATACCGGGCGACATGCGAAGTCGCCAACAACCACCGAACCTTGAACGCGAATTTCCACGTCGTGGTTTATTCAGCGCCTCGACTATATATATCTACATCCCACGATTTTGAAGTAGAAAGGGCTTTTTAATAATAACATTGTCCCTCTGGTGGCTCTGGTGGCTCTGCCTCTGCTTTTGATCCATCGCACTTCGATCTTCTCACAAGATCACCAACATGGCTGATCAAATGTCGAATCCACGCGTATCTTGGCTGTTTCTGCTACCGCAAATGTGAATAATGCTCCAAAACGGGGGTTTCGATTATCCTACAGGCGAATAGAAGACGATCCTAGAGAGCAGGTCACAGACAGTCTGCCTATGCTGCCATCTCTCGAGAATGGCAAGCTCGAAGGTCGGAGTTTTACATACATTCCATAATTTACATCAATTAGATACCGAGTATTCTCGCAGTGTCATGACAGGAAGCCGCCAGAAGTTTGTGAAATACAACTGGTTGTGCTAGAGCTCCCAGAAAGGGGGCGAAAAGGGAGCATCTCCCAAGGACGTCAGGACAAGCAATATGCTCTTTCCGAATGCTGTTTGGAACCTACTTTTTTATCTTATGTGATTAGAGTCAGAAAGGCGACATTCAATCGGATCTTGATGCCTATTCTTCAAGTGGTGCAGGCCACCGGTTCCAGGAACATAAGAACCGAATCAATCACAACCTAGAAACTGTCTTTAAAGACATCAAACCGGGTAAAAAGAGATCCGATTCTTAGGGTCGGAGACATCGGAGACGAGTTGATCTACTTAGGAGTGCCATCAGGCTCAGGTCGTTGAGCATCCTGAAGCACTGGGCTTCGATATGCGCGGATCATTGGCACACAAACTGAAAAGCGTACCCGCCATATTTCGCCATCAATTTTGGCAATTCTATTCTCAAGCTCTCGTGGAACATTATCCGACAGCTTATCAACCCACCTCACAAGCCGTGGGATTTTACTCGCGAGGGTGTTTTCACCGTAGCCTGGCTTACACACTCTCTTCACCAATGTCAGGGATTGGCGGGCAAGGCAATCCCGATCTCGTTGACCATTGTAGTCCTTGTAGCTGCAATTGCAATCTTGAAGAGCCATTACAATGAAGTGAGAAGTGCATTGTTCAATCTTGGACGATAGACTATGGCTCACACTTCAACGCCGGTTTCTCACACTTCTTATGTCAATAAAAGAAACTGTAAAACAATTGTCGCTCGTATACATTTAGGAATTTAATTCAAGTTCTGATACATATCCTCCATCACCAGTGCTTCTCGGAAATGTCGACGGTATTCACATCAACGCCATCCTTGAACCATCTATCCGCATCGCTAATCTTCACGTCATTCCCACTCATCTGGCGCTTCCTCATCAACCCATTCTCGGCAAAAGTCCAGTCCTCAAGCCCATACGTGCGCCACCACTGGCCTGCCTCATCATGCCACTCGTACCAGAACTGCACGGCGATCTTGTTGTCTGTAAAAGCGAAGAGCTCCTTGCGAAGTCGGTAGCCATCTTCCTTGCTCCATTTATCGGTCAAGAACTTTTGAATCTCGTCGCGACCTTGTAGAAATGTGCCGCGGTTGCGCCAGATTGAGTCGGGCGTGTATGCCATTTTGACACCATCTGGGTTCCTGCAGGTTTTTGGTAAGTAGTTGCGATTGAGAGAAGTGAAAGGGATAGGATGTGCGAACCTGGTGTTCCAGGCATCTTGAGCGGCCTTAACTTTGATCTGAGCCGTCTCCAGCGTGAATGGCGGGTACGGAGCTCGTCCTTCTTGTGCAGCCATTGTGATTGTTGTGAGGTTGGATATGATAAGAGAGAGACGGTACGAGTGATTGGAGTTGTAGAAGTAATAGTCAATGGGAAAGTTAATTGTCTCACTTATATATACGTCTTCTATTTATCTAGTGTTAGAACTCTTCCATCTGCCTAGATTTGGAATCCTCCCTTTCTAGTTTTACTTTCTACTCCATTATCCATCATGGACTTACATCATAACCGCTTCACCCTAGCGAGCGGCATAGCAGCGGCACGTCGGGCGGCTTGGCTGTCGGCACTTGTGAGACTGCGCCATTTCCGCGGGATCCGCACAAAAACTTCAGCAAATGGCGTAAGCATGCAAAGCTGAAATCACAAAGTTTAAACAAGGTGATTCAATGCGGCTTAGAATGCGTCATTTTCGCTGGGCTGAAGGAGTTGAGCAACTCGTTGTCGCAACTCTGCGAAACGCTTCAACTCCTTGACAAATGCTTACGAAACGCGACGATGGGGATGAAAAACTGAGCTTGTCATCTTATGGAGCTAAATGTACCAAGTAGTTTCGAAGAAACTTTCCTATCAGAGCTAGGTCAGCTGCTCTCCGAACTGTTACGCAGTGGAGCTTGAGCGTATACAACCATTCGCTCGAGAACCGTTACAGACAATTCAAGACAAGATATCACATATATGACAGATTGAAAGCATTGATGCTTTGGCCAAAAGTTTTTTTTTCATTCCAAGTTTTCTAAACCTCAACCGCCATCGCTATGCTCATGTACAACCTAATTCAATTCTTGAAGCTGGCACATCTGAGCCAAGTAGATTCCCAATTCATTCAGCACCTCTTTCTCTCAAGGCGCCGCCTCAGAGTCGCCCTCAAGCAGTCAGGGTGCCGGCCTCAATGTTGTTGCCAATAGGGTCGTGGATGAAAGAAGCGTAGTACTTGGGGTGAATTCCAGCCCGGATTCCGGGAGCTCCATTGTCCTTGGCACCGCTGGCGAGAGCGGCGGTGTGGAAAGCGTCGACGGCATTGGTATCTATAGTTTAGAGTTAGCAGCTATATAGAAACGAATCACCCTATAAGAGAGAGCGATGTGTGTTGAGAACAGAATTGTGTGTACATACCAGCAGCGGCGAAAGCGACGTGGGCGTTGGAGGTCTTTTCTCCAGAGAGAAGGACAAACTCGGGTCCAGTAGTTCCAAATCCAACCAATCCCTCAGGGAAGCCGGGGAGCTTCTGGAGTCCCAGAGACTTGAGGACGTTGGTGTAGAACTCAACGGTGGGAGCAAAGTCGGCCTTTGCGACGTGGAGGAGAACGTGTCCGATGGGCATTTTGAAGATTGTGAAGGTAAAAGTGTTGGACTTAAAAGTGGTTGAAAATGTGTTGATTGAATCTGAGTGCTTGTTGTGTGAATGATTCTCCAACTCCAGAGGGGATCCCATTCCAGTCTTATATACATGATTTCAAGACGGTTTGTTGCCCTGAAACTCAATTCAATCGACTCATATCAACACAATCCGACGTCAACGCCGGGTCAATTACAAATCCGACAAAGCACACATCCGCAAATATCGCCAAAGATTACACATGCTTTCATCCTCGCTTCTCGCGTCCTCTCTACAAAACGGGCATCACCGGCTGCTTCCCCCCCCCCCCGCCGGGCGAAGGATCAAGCCATCCAACATGGCTCGGGGAGCCGCCGCTAAACCACTCCCGGAAAGCTGTACCCTTGTCGTTTCTCTGGTGGTTTCTTTCTCCGCATCACGAAGCGGCGAGGATGGCGGGCGCTAAGCTTTTTCGAGGGACCAGTACCCTGGCAGGGGTGTGACATCAGGTTGCAATAAAGTTATTTTGTTAGTTTGGAATCAAAGAGCAAAGCTGTTCTGGGTATTAATCACGCCAGACTACCTGATACCAAATAGAAAAGTCGTGGGGAATAGCCTATCCGTGGCGGTTATGAACAAGTGGTTGATACAGAAACGAAAATGCCATCCTCATGGACCTGATATGCTCGATTACTCTGTATAAATGAGGCGCCTTGTCTCTTGACTAAACATATTCTACGGCCTTTGTTTTCTTTCCCTCTTTTTCATGTCTATTGTTTTTTTCTCCCTTCTCTTGTTTCTTCTTCAACTAAGGCTGACGAGGAGTCTCCCAACCCATCCTTTGACACCAATCAACAAACATATCCTTTGGCATAATCAGTGATTCCGCCAAAGGGCTACACTGAGTACACACACTCATACGCCAAGCCCTCCATCTATCAGCTGTAGCAAGGGTAACTTTGGCAACCTTGAACTTGATTGCCATGAAAAGCTCAGCTTGAGAAACAGCAGACAGCTCTTGCTTGGCAATCATTAGAATTTTCAAAGCACTGTTCTGCGCAGTCTCCTCACAGTGGGCATCCGCCACGGGATCCAAGCAAAAGAGCAGACGGTTAAGTATGATGGACACGGCAAAGCTGAACCCAAGGGCTTCATGCTTCCTGTCTTTAACTATCGCCACCTTGGGATAATCCGACGCGGTTGGCCCAAAGAATGTTTCGTACCAATGCAAGAGTTGGAGACGAAGCAGCTGCAGGTTGTTCTTCGCATCATCAACCAGGTCGGCTGGCGTGTCGTGGCGAGTGACGCAGATGATCTGCGTCGTCTTATAGAAATACTCCGGCACGCGGCATACCGTAGTCAAGAGCGATATAATGGGCTCGCTCCTATCGGAGAATAGATTGTCGGTTGTGGGGATTGAGCGCAATGCAGCCTGCCACGGATCATCGCTCAAGAAGCATGTCTGGTTGATATTGAGCGCCTCGTGGAACTGGAAGCGGATTTTTAGTAATCGCATTGTTTTTCTTCCCGTCTTCCGGAAGATGACAGACTGGAAAGGAAGACTTACGATTTGTCCGACGTGGGATAGCACCAATGCCTTCTCGAAATCGGTTTCGCAGCGCCCAGGGCCACGAAGCTTGATCAAGGCAGTTGCCCCTGTAGAATGATACCGCCAAGCGTCTTCAGTTGACATTTTCAACAGCTGGCAGTTTCGTAAGCATACGGTAATGGTATAATAATTTGCCTACGCATAGAAAAGGCTCACTTCGTATATTCCAAGTAGCTGCGTGGCACAGAGCACGTCTGGTCGAAGACACGCATTGGGGCACTGCAACTCGGCCTGTAGAGCCGCCAACGCGCCGGAATACAGCTTCAAGATGCTGTTGGACACGGGCTCGGAAGGTGAAGAGAGCCACTGCTGAGCTCGAGCGGCTACACATGCGGCAGCTTTGTCCAAGGCGCCGTTATGCCCGATCCGGCCCGGCAAGTAGTTGAGGTACGACCAGTCCCGGTGGCCCAGCACTTCAGTCAACATGGTGGGCTTGTGAGCCAGGATGTTTGCTGTTGCATAGCTGATGTGGAATGATGTCAACTGAGACAGATCTAGAAGATCGAAATTGTACCGCATCCTCATCTTCTCGTATGAGCTGGATGCGAGACTAGCCGGGATGAGAGCCTTGACCGAAACCTGGGGATCGGATCTGCCATCACTGCAAGGCGAAAACTCAGCCGGGTACTGGATTAGATTATGCTGTCCATAGCCGCCTCGTTTCCGCCTGGCCTGGGCAGACTTGCTCATGGCCTGCTTTCGTATCCGCTTCCTGGCATGTTTGTCATCGGGCTCCAGCTGATTGGTAGCCGTTATGAAGACGTGAGTGACAGTAGTCGACATGGTGTAGCAATGACGGAACCAATGTTTACGGGCGTATCAAGTCTCCTGGACATCAAGGTGCAAAAGTATGGAGAGCAGCCATCACATCTTGTGAGAGATTACAAGCAAGGAGCAGTTGATGAGACTTCATTTGTAAGGTCAGTTCAGCCTGGGCAACACTCCGAGGCGGCTGTCGTCAGTTTAGCGCGAATAAGCAAGTCATGCAACTCGTAGCCCGGAGAAAGAAGCGGGCTTGGTGGCGTTGGTTGTGGGGTGATGGGCTGTGAGGATTTGACAAGGGTACTGTTGTCCATAATGGGAATGGCGAGTTGCATGGCGTTTGACTTGGCGGAAGAGAGTCGTCCTGAGGGAGCATGATGGGCTTCGACTGTCTTTTATACAATCCCGAGACAATGCCACGAGGAGCATTGGCAACGGCGGTATAACGGAGTGTGATTATTCTTTGCAGATATATTCCCTCGGTATGGAGTCATTGGCATCTCCCGCCTTCTCACACAGTTTTCGGTATTCTACCCCACGACAGATCCTCGTATGAGTGACTTTGACTAAAACAAGCAAAGCATATCCTCAAGGTCATCAAATCGTCGCTAGCACCAAACCCACGAAAAATCTATTAAAGAGAAATTCTGTATCATGACGTGATCCTGTCAATGAAATGATATTAATGTGTCCATGGCCATATTCTTGTTTTGCATAGGCGCATGTTTCTCGGAATGGTATGACGTGAGACTGATAGACAATATACCTACCTCTACTTCGCACTCATCTCGGAGTTAAGCCGTCTGATAGACATGCATCGCTTCGCATTCAGCGATGTGTTAAGCCTCCTCTCTTTATACAGCATTCACTTCGATAGTGCCGGGAACGACAACAGCCTCGTCACCTTGTCAATATTAGTATTAAATCTATAGGACAAAGCGTTGCTCCTAATCCTTTACCTTGATGCAGTAGATCCCGCCTCTCCCCCTCTCATAACTAATCCTAACGCTACCCCCGAGCTTCTCAAAGATCCTCTTCTCGCTCGCCATCCTCGTCCCTCCGTCGCAATCCAGCCTCCGCAGCAACGGCTGCAATGCCGCCGCCAAACCAACGCAGCTGTGATCCCTCACCGTCACCCTGCTCGCCACCGCGGCTGCAATCACCGCCAGCAGCAGTTGCAGTCCCACCGTGAGGCCCAAGATCAAATGCACATATAACCACTGAGTAATGTCCAGCCTAATCCCCTTCAACGGCAGCAGTCCGGGGGCATTCAGGTTGGTGTTGACCTGGGCCGTAACGGCAACAACTCCAACGGCAAAGGCAGCCATCACCTGGCCCATGCCAGTCACATTGCCTCCCTGAATTGCTCCGTAAAAAGACTCCGCCGGATAACTCTGGAACTGAAAGTGCCTGGTGCTGTTTGTGCTGACTCCAAAAGTCGAGGCGCCATAGCCCTGGAGAGCAATGGCCGAGGCAGCGAGCGACGTGACATTCACACCAACCTCTTGCGCCGGATTCTCAACATTGGTGACCGCTCCCACCGTAACATTACAGTTGTAGAACCACGGATCCGTCGGCGATGCCTCAAACGCCAAGACGTGCCCCCACGCTGGCCCGGAGCCCCGATCGGGATCAACCATGAAAGTCGTCTGGGCTGCCCCATTCAGGGCGGGAATCGTAAACTCGGTGCGGTTCGCGTCTCCAATGACAATCGTGTGCCGGGTCCCGTCTCCTCCATTGAGGACCTTCCACCCCTTGCACGTTGCCTGGGTCGAAATCGATCGATTCGTCGCCACCATCTGGTAGTATGACAGGTCATCCGGGGTCGCCTCGTAGAAGATGTACTGGCACGAGTTCTGGTTGCAGTACATGAGATTGGCGTCGGTGTCGAAGAGCGTGCCGGGTTTGGGGATCTCGTCGTCTCCGCCGTATCCGTAGGCAAGGGCAACGAGGCCATAACTGTACCATGAGTTAGCTGATACATCCCATCAGTCTTTCTCTTCTTTTTTTTCGAGACGCACTTGTTTGCTGTATATCGCAGGGCGCTGATGGCCTGTGAATTCGTCGAAAGCACTTTATTTGTCTGGATGTTGCTCATATCCGGCACCGAGACGGTTCCGGGTTTCGTCACGGCCACCGTGTCCGCCGGATTGATGTTGTAAGTTAAGCCGAGAGTCGCAACGGCTATTTGCGAAGCCTAGCAGCGGACTCGCGATTAATTCAACCACTCACTATGGATCTCGTTGAAGAGAAATGAGAGAATCAACGTTGCTCACCACATTGACCAATACCCAAAACAAGACATAGACCCTCACCCACGTACGATGTGTCACGTAGCCCAGCGTGAAGAGACTGCTAAAGTTTTCGCTCTGTAGGATACAGTCGGCCTGTACCATCATAAGAACATTAGCCATTACGAACTGCCTCGCATGAATCAAACCTTTGTTTACCTCTCTCGGCGTCCACTCGTACCAGCTCAACACCCACCATCTCAACTCCCCCACCATGTGCTTCATCGAACTCGCAATGTTCAAACCCAGTGCAATCGAAATCGCAATAATCAACGTGTTAAACTCCTTCTTCTTGTTGCTCAACATGGCCTCCTTGACCGAATATCTCCACAGCACGAGATACGCCCCGACAACCAGCAGCACCGTCATCACCCATCGCACGAGGCACGCCAGAAACAGCCGCTTGAACTGGTTCTTGCGCTTAAAGTGCTCGGCGGAGAAGACGTCGCCGCGGCCATCGCTGCGCCAGCTGTCGCTCCGCAAGCTCTGCAGCGTCGGCGAGTGCTTTATAGCCGTCATGGCCGCACGCATCTTGGTTCTGTTGTTGTTTCCCTCGACCGGAGCGCCAGCACTCGTTGGTGAGAATCGATTACATGTTCGTTTCGGCTGAACCCGAGAATGCTTGACGGCAGCCAACTTATAGGATTCCTATTTCTTTAAACCACTCCACCTCCACGGTGAAATGTCAAATTATGAAACAGGAGCCTCCCGTGGAGCCAAGAGAAAGAAATGGAAAACAAAATCGAAACCACCAAGCAGCTCGAGAAGCCGTTTTAGGAAGAGCTGAAGCATTAAAGTTCAGGTGGCACTTTTACAAACTCATACTAGTCACTCGGTGGCAGCTGTCTAAACCACCAAGGAAGAAGAAAAGACTACAAGTTCCCGCTGTTCCAGACCAAAAAGCCCGCCCTTGCTAGAACCGCAATCCCAAACTGAGACATGTGTTTTTCCCTCTTTCTCATCTCCGGTTATGGCTGCCTCTTACTCATAGAAAAGAAAAAATCGTGGCAGTGCTGGTTTGGGGCCATACTGGATAGGGCTCGAGCCGAATCGCGATAGCCGTAAGGCTAGCCCTTCCAAGTCGCCGAAAGGGGCAGATGCGGCTGATCGGCTCATTCCTTGCTTCGAGTTGTCGTTTTTCAATCATCTTGATAATCATGATAGCTGTGGAAGCTGTTGTGGAACAGCAACATTGACGTCTTCTCGCCACAACGCTGGTATCCCTAAGACGAGCCGTCTCGGTTGTCTCAGCCAAGCACGGTGGCAAATGGCGGATAATTCCTCAGTTCTCCAATTAGTCACAGCCATAGATAACTTGAATTGCCTTGCAGTTTATCTCGCCGGACGGAACAGCTATCGCACGGGCCAGCAGCCAACATAGCCAGTTGAGCCATTCGGCAACGCCGCCACCACCGAAGTTGCGTATGCGGCGCTCGTTGCGTCGTTTCTTCATCGGCACGCTTTCCGTAGCGAAACTTGGATCAATTGATTGGCATCACACCCAATTCAGTCATGGGTACGAAGTAGCACAAACAGCTAGCTAAGTACCTACCTATGCTTTTGTTACTCGTACTCGTATACGCAGGCTGTAGCTCTTCTTTCAACTCTCACATACCCTGCATAATACCGGTAGCGTTTTGGGCGCTTCAACAAGCCAATGTGGCACGACCTGCAACGCCAGAGTTGCAAAGACTAACTTGAACACGTCAACCCGGCGATTTCCTCTTCTAAACCAAGTTAGTTGCTTCTCATAACGGGAAAACAGCTCCCAAACCCCCTTGTTTGTGTCTCAAGCCTTTCACATGTACGAGCTACCAGTTAGTAATGTAACCACGGCTCAGAGCCCAACGGCACTTGCAAGCCAATCGGTGCTTAATCAATCGTCCCACACCGAATACAGAAACAAAAAAAAAAAAACAGGAGACGAGGGGAAAAGAAAGAAAGAGAAAGAGAAAGAGCCCTGCAGTAGACCAAAAATCACTCGGCATCTTCAACCATTCTCCAGCAGCTGTTCTGTCAGATCCCAGCATCACAATGACGCTTACATCCTGCCCTTGCCGCGGAGAAACTGCAAAGAGGTATTTCTCCTCTCTTGCATCCTACCTACAGTATGTGATGCATTGTCATTGTTTCTTCTCACTGGACGTTGGGGGAGGGGGGACGGGCGTCTTTTGGCATATGCATTAGCACCCAGATATGCATCTCCAAGGCACAACAAACACACAAACAAACAAGCAAAAAGAAGAAACCAAAAAAGAGTCCGCTGGCCCGTTTCCACTCAGCCCGCAGCGATGTGACTAAGGCAGGCCAGGATTTTTGGCTATTCCCATCCAACGCGTATTAGTGCTGCTACGGTGCATATGTAGACATACAGAAAACGCCTTTCGAATCCATGTTCGCGATGCACGACCCTCTCAATCAAGAACGTTGGACTCCACAGGCACAAGGGTCTCTCTCTCTCGCTCTCCACATCCGATGCGTTTTCCTTTTCTCCATCTCCATACAGATAATGAAGCATAGCAACGGGCCAAAAAAATCAAGAACAAGACCAAGAACCCCAGCCGCATCGCCATCCCCCCCAAAACCCTCATCGCTTAGTTTGGTCCATAAAATCCTCATTCGCGATCCTCCCCGTTATCAGTCCAGTCTCTTGCATCCACGCACGCCCCCCCTTTCTGTTTTCTGGGCCGCTGTACTTCATATTCGTAACTCGTAACCCGTACGAAAGTAACTCGCACGGAGTCACTCCGTTTCTCCATCCATTCGCATCCCCCATCATGCATCTGCATCTTACACGTACCCCTATCAAAAAAAAAACGACATACTACCATATAAATTAAAAATAATAATAACATAATACTACTCGTACTACTATAAGAAAAAAGCCCCTCCCCTCCCCCCATCGTCAGGCACCAAGACATAAGCAACCTTATAAAAACGAGCCACTCCTCTCTCAACACATGTTCCCTCTTTTCCCCCTTCTCATGCACATCCGCCCAAAAAAAAATGCACGTCGCCTGCATCTTGTTTTTTGCCTCGCCTCGCCTCGCCACTCTCCTCTAATACGAGGAACGAAGGGGGGGAAAAAAGCCTCTTCTCCCCTAGTCTAGAAACTCGCAGGAAAAAAAAAAGATTATTCCCCTCTTCCTTCTAGGCTACTTCTCCGGTTGGTGAGAAATAGAGACATGGAGTTTATACGCCCTGATTACGCACTTTGCTCAAGATGCATCTCGCGGCCGCACGGAACACAACAAACCACAGGAAGAACAACACACACACAGCCCAATGGCTTGTTACCTTTTCCATGCACGCACTTCGCCCCCGCAAAGTTGCCGAGCTCATCGCCGTCGATGGTCTTTTGCTGACTTCCGACTTCTTATCTGGACCTGGATGACGAAAAAAAAGAAAAAGAAAAAGGTGAGAGCGATGCCGAATAGCGAATGGCTCACTGCTGTGAAGAATGATGAGTAGAGCTCTGTATCGTACCTATGTCTGGTCCCATACCCGTAAGGAGGTAGTATCCCGTCTTCTGTATCTGTATCCGGACTCCGTATCTGTACTCCGTACTACCTACCAGGCCAAGTAAACCTCCACTGGTATAAACCTCGTGAACCAAAGGGGCCAATCCAACGCCGCAATTGGCTCTCTTGTACTTGTATCTTTCTGCTTGCTTACCTTACCTTATCCTCACGCCATGGGCGAATGCCGCCGCCAAGTGGGCCGTCGACGATGCCAAAGCAGAAGCCAAGCCTGCCATGTAGCATAGACAGATTATCACATGCAGTCACATGCAATCACAACACAAACACAGCACAGCACAGCACACAAGGGGGGTTTTGTTTTGTTGAGCACAACATCTGTAATCTAGGCAATTTCATTTATGTCTGATCTTCTTGTGTAGCAGTAAGTACCAGAATGCCCGCAGAACCAATCGAATCAATACCATTAGCAACCGACTTTTTCCTTTCCCGTTCCCCGCCTGCTCGTAGTAGCCCAATGCACCCTGGACCAAAGAACCAACCCGTCGGCCGCCTTTCAGTCCATTCCCTTAAAAACACAAATGAGAGCGTTGACAAGTCATTATCAATCCGCCTGGTCCGCTTTGTTCATAACGGTCTGGAGCCGTGAAAGACGTATAACAAAAAGCGGGAGAGAGAGAAGAAAAAAACCTCCCGTAGGAAAATGAAACACAAAGTAGAAGAGAAAACCGTAGTGGCGAAGTTACTCCAACACAAGACCTGTCATGAACCGAACCCAGAGCGCAGAAAAAAAAAAGGAAAGCAGAAAGGAAAAAACAGCACCAGAAATTCCCAATGCCCTTGTGAGCGCCAAGCAGTAGAAAAAGAAGAGACAAATCCGTATCGTATGCGGCCAAAACTCCCAGAAGCTGAAAAAACAAAAAGCCAAAGTACAAGTAATAGGAAAAAGAGTAATAGGAAAAAAGTACAACAATTATCGCTCTTTGATTGTTGCTGTGAACAAGAAAAGCAAAAGCCGCAGCGCGGGCCCCTTCCGATTTTTGGGGGGCCAGTTGAAAAAATTGGACGAGGTCATATAGAAACCTCGCCATGTTTTATAAAAAAAAAAACATGGGACATCCGTTGCTCTGTCAGCTGTCCAAACCCAAACCAGGTTGTTTTGTTTTAAAAAAAAAATTGTTCTTCTCAGTTTGTCAAAATAAAAAAATAAAAACCGTCAACCGAGAAAGATGCGGCAAATCGCAGCTGTCCTCATCCGATAACCGCCTCCGTAGGCAATCTAGCCTCGGATGGCGGTAGCGGCATGAGGTTCTGCGCCCCAACGGAATCGCTGCTGAATCATCTGCTGCGCGAAGAAGGGAGCATCAGTTGGGGATGTGGAAAAGGACGGCGAAGGCGACCTCATGTGAGGCATCGACTTGGGGGTCGACGACTGGTCCCTGCTGATGAGGACGGAGGATATAGAGTCGAGAGGAGACGAGTGTGATGCCGCGAGGTAATCGGCGGTCAGGGGCCGGGTGAGCTTCATATCAATGGGGTGGTGGAGGCTGTGGTGAGCCGCAGGGCCGGTGTGGTGAAGAGGGTGAGCCATCGTCGCCACTGACACCGTAGTCGGGCTGATGCCCTCGGTCTCTTCGCTCTTGGTCGTTCCATTAGTCGCCGCCGTCGTGGTCGATTGCTTCGAACCAAACTGTAAGGACAGAAAAAGCCAAATGTCAGCTACACAAATACCATCCCATTTTTTTTTTCAATTTTTTTTTCAGAGTCTTGCCCAATCGCTCCTCAAGCCTCCCTCCATTTTTGTTGCATGACGGCGGGAATGTTTCCATTTTCCAACAACTAGACGGCGGCAGGCGGCTGGGGCGGCTGGGGGACGCTGAAGTGGTCTCCAGGGGTACGTACAAAGCAGTATTTACTGACGAGCTCTTCGTAGGAAGAGCTGGACAGGCCGAGGCCGAGACCAACATTGGACGAAGGAGCAGCATTAGCAGCCGCGGCAGCGGCAGCGGCAGCGGGCGCAGCGGCGGGCTGGCTGGGCTGCGAAGCAGACTTTGCGCTCAGAGGAGGGCCAAAGCTCATGGGCGTAGGGCTGTCGCGGACATTCCTCTTCATGTAGAGGGCGTCCTTGTCCTTGGCCGCAGAGTCCTTGGCCGCCTGGACGGCAGCGCTCAGCGAGGCTCCAAAATCATAACGGTTGGCAAAGGCCAGTCCGCTAGGTGCGGTCAGGCCCAGACCCTTGGTGATGTTGTCACTGGCCAAGTTGCTGGTGGACTTGGTCTTGAGGCGAAGGCCGGGAGTGTTGGACTCGCCCAAGAAGTCGTTGATATGGTCATCAAACTTAAACTTTGGTTTTTTATCAAAATCATCAAACGAAAGAGGCATCTGCACGGGCCGTCCGGGAGCGACAGGAGTCTGCTTGCGGTTGCTCCGCGGCAGACTGTTGCTCGACCGTGACTGGGCGCCTTGGAAGCCGTTCTTACCGTTCTGCGGCTTGAATTGCTTCCGGAAATCAACCTGGAAGTTGGCAGAGCCGTTGCTGTCCCAATACTCCTGGCCGTTGACATTGTAGCGAATGCAGAAATACAAAGTCTTCATCTCCAGGTTGGCAGTATCTGACAGCTTGATGGAGAAGGTGAAGCGGTCCTGACCATCACGAGTGACCTTGGGGCGGATCTCGTGGCTAAACTCGGCAACGACCTCTGACGTTGTTTTCCAGTAGTCCAAGGTGAAGCGGCAGACAACCAGCTTCTGGTAGGACAGGTTGGAAACGACGACGGAACCCAGCATCGACTTCTGATCCGGCGAGAGCCAAACCTTTTCTAGGCGAACAGGCAGGTCTCGTCGTGAAGGAGAGTCGTGGGGGAAGTTGTTGGTGATGAGCTGCCAGTCAAACGGCGGTGTCCGCGCAACGGTCCTCTTCTCGCCTCCCGGGAAGGGATACTCCGTCTCACTCTCGTAGTTCTCAACCGGAGACGAGCCGGCACTAACTGCCAAAGGTCGGTCGACCTGGAGGAAGTGACGGATGTGCTCCAAATGAGAGTCGAAGTGAACGGCCTTGGCGAAAACGGGAGTGCCAGGCATGCTCGAGGGTCGCTTGTGTCCACGGAGAGCCGGTCGGACCAGCTCGCCGGACTTCTTGCGTACCATCGGCGGCTTAGGCCTCAAGTCATCCTCCGAGTCCTCCGAGACAGTCTGGGAGTTCTCGGCAGATGTCATGATGGCCGACACATTTGGATCAGTTGCAGATCGGACATGGCCCCGGCGTGCCGACTTGGGTAGGTCGCTCAGGCTCATGGCACTGAAACTAGTGTGCACGATGCTCCGAGGCGTAACGTCGCCAGGGCTTAGCCTCGAGTCCTTGCTTGGGGGTGATGGTGTCCGGGGTTGAGGGATCTGGCTGACGGCATCCCTAAGCTTCCCCAACTTCCTCCCTCGAATCTCCGGGCGGCTATCATCCTCACTGTCCGACGAGGCAGAGTCGGGCGGGGAGATGATGGCAGCGTTAGGGATTCCTCGGTCGTCAGTCACCGGCGGGGGTGACTTGCGGAGGCTGGCGCTCACAGGAGTGGTGCCGGCGTTCTTGACTTCGTCGGAAGAGCCATATGGAGGAGACGGTGTAGAGTGAGACTCTACAGCCGGGGGTGCGGACGGTGTTCGACGGTTCTTGCTGAGGTACGAGGCTGAGCGAGGGAGCGAAGGCTTCTGGCCGGAGGTAATTGATGAGCGTCGGCTGACATCCGGAGAAGCAGTCGCTGAGGAGGCGGGAGATCGGTGAGAGGGCGGCGTGTAAGGCATTCCCAGAACGTTTGCCGGGGTTATTGCTTGAAGGGGAATAAAAGCCTGGCTGGTACTGATGATGTAATCCGGCTTATAAGAGATGCTGCAAATGATTCAACGGCGAAAAAGAATGGCCGTTGTTAAATGCTGCTAATATGCACAACCCGTTCCAATTATATCATAGGATAAAAGAATAGGGCTTGTTGTCGGACTCGCGGGCGGGCAACAGAGAACGAGTAGAGACTGGGAAGCTGGTATCTAGGTAGGATGATCTGGACGCATGGGAAAGTACGTTGTCAGCACGAGGTGATCGACATGAAACAAAATAAAAGATACCATTCGAGGTTCGGAGCAGGATGCGTGGTGGAGAGGGAACAACACATGGTTTAAATGACCCAAGTCTGGTCCACGATCAGGGGACGGTGATTGTCCATGAGGTAAAGAAAAGAAAAAAGTTGGGACCTTGAGGACGTTGGATAACAGGATGCAGATTGCTCAAACGGAAGTTTTCGAGACGGAAAGGAATAAGACAAGGGTTGTCGGAAGTTTCCGTGCTTGGTAATGAAACTCTCTTTGAGAAAGGCTAAAACTCAATGGCGACTTACAATGGAAGGCAGAAGAGGATTTGAGGGCCAATTTTCTCCGAAGTGCACAGGAAGCAACGACACGGTCTCAAGCTCGGGCAATATTCCAGCAACCGAGCAAAAGACTATGAGGTGCAGCCGTGGAAGCACAAAACTTGGTGCGGAGGCTGATGCTTAAAGATCGCCAAACTAAGTCGTCTGGCGGATGATGTGACCGGCTCGGGGGGGGAACGTTGTCGAGTCGGACGGTGGAGAGAGTAGATGATAAAAAATCCTTGCACAATGACGAAGTAGAGACCCAGCTGAAGCTTGCAGCGGGTGGTGGAGATGCTCGGGATGAAGGGGGTTGAGAATTGATGATGGACGGAAAGCACGGCGAGGATGGCGGATGACTCTCGAAGATTGCAACGGGAACGACGGGGAGGAGACTGCAGTCTGGTTCTTTAGTCCTGGAGGTGGGCAGGACGTTGGTGGAATGGGCTGTAGGGTGATGGATTAACCCTTGAAGAAAGAGAAGAGGAGGGGGAGAAGAAGAGAACGGCGGAAATGATACCGATGAGGTTGAAGATGAGGATGAGGAAATGGGAGAGATTGGGAAGATTGAAGACGGAGGAGGTGGGGAGAGGCTGTTTTTGGCTGCGTGAGACGGCTGATACGTACCCAGCGGTTGTGCCAACTCGAGGCAAGCCTGCAAGTACCGGCGCCCAAATGGAGCAGAGGCGAAAAAAAAATAATAAGAAAAAATCAAAAAAAAAAATTAGAGCAGCGCCATCGTACAGGTACCTGCTAGTGGAAGGCTCGGGCCCGGATCCAGGTTGCTATGCGCCGCAGCAGAGAGAGACAGACTGCACTGAGACCTTGAACTTGCCCTGCTCTAGGCTGCATGGGGGATATTTGAAAACTTGGCTGGCACTAGCGGCAGAGACAGGGGTGAGAGAGTGAGAGAGAGGGTGAAGGTTGAGAGGTTGAGTCCATCTCGAAATCTTGTCATCTAAGCCCGGCCTTGCCTACAGTACAGTATGGAAAGACAACCCTGGCCAAGCAAAAGCCCAGCACAGCAGCACCGCCTTACTAGCAAGCAACCACACACCACTCCCCTCCCGGCCAAGTTCGCTTCCCACACTGGTTCGATGGCTTGAGATGGTGGGCCGCCGTCGATCGGCTTGGAGGGTGGCCTGTGGCCCATGGGCCCAGCAACCTCATCCCTGAGAGAGGGGCCTTGGAGATAGGCGGCCAACAGGGGGGCGAGACAACAAATTGGCGAGCCGAAGCAACAGCTCAACCGGCTACCTGAACCCAGCAACCACCAACAAACCCTCAGCAGCCCCATCGCCGTGCCTAGTGTTGGCGTGTTAGTGCAGTGTTGTATCGGCGGCCCAAGCACCGTCGAGCTTGCCATGCCATGCGTCGTCGGTCGCCTCTCGAGGTGCGAATCTCTCAGACAGACCTCCATTCCATACGGTGCTCGTACTTTGTACTGTATTTGCACTTGCAGTTTGGATTGGAGATGTGCTTGGACCTTTGATCTTCAATTTACGGGGGCCGGGGCTAGCTCCATCTCGACAGACGGAGCACTCGCACCTGTGCTTTTGTCGTGATATGAAGACGCCCCCCCCCCCCTTCCTTGCCCCATCCACAGCGTGTCCCGATATCAACATTTGTAGCAGATATGCTCGTATGTAACAAGCACAGTAGCGCAGCGGCAAAGGACCAGAGACAAAAACCACTCGGAGAGGCGAAAAAAAACGGCCCAAGACGCACGCACTCACACGCATACACATAAACACGCACTCACACATTTCATGCTTCCGTTATACTCGTACATTGCACAAACCACAAACCACAAACCAGACGAAGCAGAGAGGGCGAGCGGCGAGAGGGCGGCAAAGGTGTGGCCCAGTTTCTGCTTTCCCTTTCCCCCCTCCCACCAGCCGGCAGCCGGAGGGATTTTGCCAGTGGTCGTCAGCCAACGAATACCTCGCCGGTAATGCAACCTAATGTGAATAGAGCTGCAGTGTCGAGGTCGCATCTGGATGCCCATTTTTGCGGAGTAGACCGGCAGCTGCGTGCAAGGCCGCCTACCACTAGCCACCTCAATGCGCGTCGTGCCCTGCCGTTCGTTTTTCCCTCCTACCTCCGAGGACTCCCTAGTGCTTGTGTGTGCTTGTGTCGTCTCGTCTCGCCTGTCCAATGCATATGTATGTATGAGCATGTACTCCTCACAAGGCCATGTACGAGTACATAATCCAGAGCAAAGCAAGCATCAAACCTGTCCCTGCTCTGCCAATGTAATGCACACACATCCCGTGCACCCCCCGTTGCCCATTGCCATCCTCAGACGGTAAGAAGCTAGTAATCGAATGAACGGAGCACCGGTATGTGTTGGGAACCTTTTTTCCAAGCCCTTTGATTACACCACAGGGACACAACATACGAGTAGACAGACAATCAGGCAAGATGGTACTGTATCGTCTCCATACCCGGTGAACAAATTGGCAAACGATAACAATTGCCGTGATACCAATTCCAGCGCCAGACGGGAAACATGGCCTCTCGTCCTCGACACTCATTCGTCCAGCCCCGGGACAGACCCAGCCGGCGGCACCTACGGGCGTTGTCGAGCTACCGCAGTGGGCAGCGTTTTTCTCTTCTTCTACTGTAAGCATCTCAGCAAAGAACGGGGCTCGTCTGTCATCATCCTGTCTTAAAAAGACGCCGTCGCCTTTTTTAGAACGGTTTCTGAAATCTCTCCCTCCGCCCAGATAAGCGTGTCGCCGGCGAGCGAAAAGTTTGCGTCAGTCCCGAAATGGACGTGCGCTTGTGTGGCGTCGCCTGATAACAATGCACTTACGAATACTATATATGGCCGTTTTTATCAGCTTCGAAAAAGTGCCGATTGCACAAGATCGCGTGGAATGCCATGGGCTGATATCGATGTCACATGGCTTGATGAATTGCCCAGATGTGAACGATTCCCCGGGCAATAGCGCAACTGTCTCGAGCCGGGCCAGCCTTTTTCTTCATTTGAGCAATATAGTACTCCGTAGATGGCAGAGTAATATTTGGGTCGGTCCCATCCGAGTGCGCCCTCTCTCTTGTTAGCTTTTTTTTTTTCTTTTTTGCTTTTCTTCTCCGTGTCGGCGTCCGCTGCGCTTTCTCTTGGTCAAGGTCGGATAACCGGTGAAGCCGGATATGGAGATAGCTACGACGACTAACACTGCCGAGTCTCGTTAGTACCAGCTGGCCATTGCCCTGGTAATGAGGATATCCCGGGTACTTGTATCGCTTGTATCGCTAACAGCACTCCGGTTCGTTCTTCTGTTTGCTGTACTTGTCCTCGTAGCGGGTACTTTTTTCGTCATGTATTATTCATGGTTTGCCCAGCGGCAACGGCATGTTGCGCGTGCGAGCACGGTACGGTACAGTACGGGCAAAGCGCCGATGCGGATTCCGTCCGGATGCTTCGTACTCGCAACGGGACGGGACTTGCCTGGCAATGGAGCTTGCCCGACAGATAAAATTTGCAAATTTTGTGCCAAACGCAAGCCCTTGTTGGCTCACTCGGCCTGCCGAATCGCATTGAAGGGGGCGACTGGGGGACAGAGGCGTTTCCAGGTATTTTTCTTGCTTGCAGCCTTGCACTGCAGGCTCCGTGCATGTACGGTACGAACAAGAATGTACCGGTCTTCTCGCACTCCGTCCTGGGGCCCTCTTTTCCATTCCTCCTGCATCGAGATGGGGAAGAGGGGCGAAGGGGAAAGGGAGGATGGCAGAGAGGGCTGCGGGCTTTCTTCAAGTACAATGCTTCGCTGCGACTCTGCCCATCCGGCTCCCAAAACCCCCCATCTCTGGCATGTCCATCCATGCTCGTACTGTACCGTAACATACAGTACGGCTGGTAGGTAGGCTTTCCAAAGGAGAATTTTCGTTTTCCCTGGCGCCAGGGGGGGGTTTGGCTGGATGGGCATGGCCTGGGAATAGCAGACTGGGGTGGGCTCTCCGGCATGAGACCCGGTCCTGGTGTGGCGCCCGACGCTGTGGTCCGTTGAATAATATCTCACCCCTGTTCTCGCCAGTCCAAGTCCATGCCGACCGTTCTCAGCCGCTCATTGGCAGTGCCCCGGCCTGGGTTAGCTGTTTGATGTCGAGATAATGACGTTGCTCGCGCTTTGGGGTGAGGCATCGCTCAGAAGGCGCCCTCCAATCAGGCAATGGCTGGACACGCGCAATGCATTCCGCAGCGTGGCCTTCCTGTTTCACATTGGCCTCTTTGTTTGCCTTCTCCCTGCGACGCCTCTTCGTCTGGTGTCTCTCTCTCATTCTCTCTCTCTCTCTCTCTCTCTCTCGCAGAGGGAAAAAAGTGGACAAGTCGGAACGGACGCGCTGTGCGGAGTAGCCAGTACTTTCCACTCCGAAAAGTTGCTCTCAGCCCGT